ATACCCACAAAGTCAGCTAAGTGGGTTTGCCAAGTAAGACTATTTATAAAAGCTTGCTGTATTTGTGCCTTCATGAGAGGGACAATAATTTTTCCAGGATCAAATCCATGTAATTTAACAATCCAAGTTCTCCCATTTCCTATCAGAGTAGCGATTTGATCCAAATAAAGAGTTACAGTCCGTGAATTAGTATGTGGAAGAAAAAGCCATTCTACTAAATCCTGCTCTTGGACAATAACACCAGCAGATGATTGCTGAGTTGAAAAAATTAGCAAATCTAGAGTCTTCTCTAGATCTATTATATTTGAGCCTTATGTACTTGCTTTTCAATCAGCTGTAACTCTGCCTCAGCCTCCTTTGTTAATTGCTGAGGGCTAGTGAGGCTAGGATCTCCTCTAAGGATAGAAAATAGATTACTCATGGCATAGGTAGGAATGCCTAGAGCAGATTGTATCCAATTAATGTCCCACAGTAATTTTTGAAAGTCATTTAATGTTTTCAATTGAGCCCTACGTATGGTTACTTTCTGTGGCACTATTGTAGTGTCATTTACTAAGGTCCCGCAGTAGGAGTAAGGAGTAGTAGTCTAAATTTTGTCAGGAGCTATAATTAAACCAGTGTGAGAAATCAAATTTTATAAGTGATCATAACATTGGAGTAGTATTTCTCGAGTGGGGGCAGCACAAAGTATATTGTCCATATAATGAATAATGTAACAGTGAAAATTTTTTATGAGTAGGTTCAATTGCTTGCCCTATATACATCTGGCAAATAGTCGGACTGTTTAACATGCCCTGTGGCAACACTTTCCAATGAAAACGCTTAGCAGGCTGTAGGTTGTTTACTGCAGGAATTGTAAATGCAAACCATTCACAGTCTTGCTCAGCTAAGGGGATAGTGAAGAAATAGTCTTTTAAATCTATGACTACTAAAGGCCAGTTTTTTGGAATCATAGTAGGAGAAGGCAGTCCTGGCTGCAATGTCCCCATAGGTTGTATAACTGAATTAATGGCTCTAAAGTCAGTTAACATTCTCTATTTACCTGATTTTTTCTTAATCACAGAAACTGGAGAATTCCAAGGGGAAAATGTTGGAGCTATGTATCCTTTTTCCAATTGTTCATTAACTAAGTCCTCTAAAGCCTCCAGTTTCTATCTTAGTGGCCATTGTTCTATCCAAATTGGCTTACCTGTTAACCATTTTTTAAGGTATAGGTTCTGGAGGCTTAACAATGGCCTCCATCAAAAATGATATCCCTTGGTGGGAACTTTGTCTTTCCACTTGAAGCAGTTCCTTCAAAACCTTGCAGATTTTTTCCTAGTCCCATACCAGGGACATACCCCATTTCATGCATCATATGTTGACTTTGAGGGCTGTATAATTGCTCTGGAATGAGAACTTGTGCTCCCCATTGTTGTAATAAATCTTTTCCCAAATATCAATAGGTACAGAAGTTATAATTGGTTGAATAGTCCCAGGTTATCCATTGGGCCCTTCACAATGCAAAATATAACTACTTTGATCTACTTCAGGGGCTTTACCAACTCCAACTATGTTAAATTGAGCAGGTTGAATTGACCGTGCAGACGGCTAGTGCTGTAGAGAAATGATGGAAATGTCCACTCCTGTATCTACCAAACCTTTAAATTTCTTTCACTGAATAGTTATTTCACAGGTAGGATGTTTATCAGTAATTTGATTCACCCAATAAGCTGCGTTGCCTTGTTTATTTGTGCTTCCAAATCCTCCTGTTTGTTTAATTTCACTTTTCCCCATTTCCACATATGGCACAATCAGGAGTTGTGCTATATGCTCTCCTGGCTCTGTTTTCCAGGGAACAGAAGTAGATACAACAATTTTAATTTCCCCATTGTAATCTGAATCAATGACTCCTGTATGTACTTGCACTCCTTTTAAATTTAAACTAGATCTACCTAGAAGTAATCCTATCATCCCTGCTGGCAAGGGTCCACAGATCCCTGTTGGAACTTTTTGTGGGGGTTCCCAGGCAGAAGAGTGAAGATTAGGTGCAGTATAAATCTACTATGGCACTACCAGCTGTTGCGGGGGACAGACATTGTACATGGGTGAGGGAATGGCCTGAGCCGGGAATGCCCCTGTTTGGAACGGGGCCCAGGATGGGCCCCTCACGGCATTTCCCAAAATTGCATTTCCATCCTTCTCAAATTTAGAATGACACTGATTGGCCCAATGCTTTCCTTTTTTACACTTCAGGCATAGACCTGGTTCATACTGATTGATAGCTTGTTTAAACTCTTTGAGTAATTTAAAAGGAAAAGACTCAAAACGTAGCTATATTATTTCCCTGTTGATTAGGCGGATATATTCTAACAGGGAACTGCCAAGCATCTATATCACCCTCTCGTCTAGCTTGCTGAATTCCTCCCTGAATAGAACTGAAAGCGGTTGCTCGAGGCACTGTTTGAACAGTCACTGGGGCAACTACTTTTCACCCAGTGTCCCCCGGAAAAGAAAGATCTGGAGGGTCAGGCCACTCTTTTTCTTCAAAATAATGAGGGGGTGCAGAAGGGTAGGGAATGAACCTCTTCCTCCTTTGCCGCTTTAATTTTAGCTGGCAAACAATCCCGCTCTGTCACCTCTTCTGTTACTTTGTTGTACTCTACTTCCTCTTCATCATCAGTGTGAAAAGGTTCCAAGGTGGAATGAACCAGAGCCCACGTTTGTCCCATTGCTACCCTGATGCTTCCTAGCTGCCCTTCTTACTCATCATGGGGATTGCTTGAGTACTCAAGTGTCCTCCAGCTTAGTTCCACGTTCTCCAACTCTGGCGACCCTCCAACCCAGGTTTCGAGCCCCACGTATGGGCACCACTTGCCGAGACCAGCTCAGTCGTGGAGACCCTAACTCAGTGGCGTTAGAGGAATTAAAGACACACACAGAGACATATAGAGTGTGGGGTGGGAAATCAGGAGACTGGCAGCCTTCAGAGCTGAGAGCCACGAACAGAGTTTTACCCACATATTTATTGACAGCAAGCCAGTGATAAGCTGTTTCTATAGATTACAGATTAACTAAAATGGGAAACAAAGGGATGGGCTGAAACAAAGGGATGGGCTCTGGCTAGTTATCTCCAGCAGGAACATGTCCTTAAGGCACAGATTGCTCATGCTATTATTTGTGGTTTAGGAATGCCTTAAGCGGTTTTCTGCTCTGGGTGGGCCAGGTGTTCCCTGCCCTCATTCTGGTAAACCCACAACCTTCAGTGTGGGTGTCATGGCCATAACGAGCATGTCACAGTGCTGCAGAGATTTTGTTCATGGCCAGTTTAGGGGCCAGTTTATGGCCAGATTTGGGGGCCTGTTCCCAACAGAATGATATGGTTTGTCTGTGTCTCTACCCAAATCTCATCTTGAATTGTAGCTCCCATAATTCCCACATGTTGTGGGGGGGACCCAGTTGGAGATAACTGAATCATGGGGGCAGTTCCCCCGTACTGTTCTCATGGTAGTGAATAAGTCTCATAAGATCTGATGGTTTTATAAGGGAAAACCCCTTAGGCTTGGTTATTATTCTCTCTTGCCTGCAGCTATGTAAGAGATGTCTTTTGCCTTCCACCATGATTATGAGGCCTCCCCAGCCACGTGGAACTCTAAGTCCATTAAACCTCAGTCTCAGGTATGTCTTTATCAGCAGCATGAAAATGGAGAACACGGTCATGGTAAGAGTCAGGGTAGTGTTACTATGTTCTGAGTCAGGGTCAGGTTCAGAGTGAAGTTCAAAGTGACCATCAGAGTCAAGGTCAGGGTCAGACTCAGAGTGAGACACATGACCAGGGAGGGTCTAGGTGAGAGTGAGGGTGAAGGTCAGGCTGTGTGTCAAAGTCAGGGTAAAGGTCTGCAACAGGGTCACAGAGTCAGGGCCGTTATCAAGTTCAGGGTAAGGATGTGTTAGGCAGAGGCTCAGGGTGAGGTTAAAGATATCAGAGACATGGTCAGGATGAGAGTCAAGGTCAGGATCAGCAACCTCTGCCCTACTTCCTAGCACCAGGAACTGGCTTTTGTGAATGCAACTTTCTGAAATGCTCTTCCTCCATTTACCTGCATGTCTTCCTCCTTCATGTGCTTGGACCATTTAATGCTGCCTCACGCTCCCTGCCCTTTCACTAGGATGTCAGTGTCACAAAGACAGTGATCTTGAAATGAAATGTTTTGCTCACTAATGGGTCCCAGGCAGTTAGAAGAGTGCTTGGCACCGAGTAGGTACTCAATTTGAGTTTAACATCGATGAGTGTGCATTAAAGTATTCCTTGGGTCCTGGCAAACACGGTGAAACCCCGTCTCTACTGAAAATACAAAAAAAAAAAAAAGTATTCCTTGGGAAAAAAGTACATCTGGGAATAAAATATAACAAACTGTTCACGGCAATTCTCTCTGGAGTAGAATTATAAGAAAGCTTCATGGTCAATTTGATATATGTTCATATTGTTTTCTTATTTTTTTTTTTTTTGTGAAACAGAGTTTCACTCTGTCGCCCAGGCTGGAGTGCAGTGGCGCTATCTCGGCTCATTGCAAGCTCCGCCTCCCGAGTTCACGCCATTCTCCTGCCTCAGCCTCCTGAGTAGCTGGGACTACAGGCGCCCGCCACCACGCCCAGCTAATTTTTTTTGTATTTTTAGTAGAGACGGGGTTTCACCATGTTAGCCAGGATGGTCTCGATCTCCTGACCTCGTGATCCGCCCACTTCAGCCTCCCAAAATGCTGGGATTACAGGTGTGAGCCACCACGCCCGGCCTGTTTTGATTCTTAAAAAGGAACACTGAATGGGTCTTACCATCTTGAGAGAAAACAAAGAACTTAAGGTAAAGTACTTGACAGAGTGACTGGCACAGGTACTCACCAAACTGTAGCTATGAATTAAACTTCAAACAACTGGCATCAGCCTTCCTGCAAAACCTGGAGCATCATCAAAGAAACGCTACTCTAGTTCCCTCATCCAACAGTAAAAACAGAGAGGCAAGACAAGATAGAGGGTCTTTATTCAACAGCAGCTGACAGACCACGCCTCAGTCCTCTGAAGGGATGCATTTCCCCCGCATACCACTCCTTTCCCACGTTTTTATTCTCTGCAGGCTACAGCTTGATGGAATAAAGGGGATTGTTCTAGAGGTACTTATACACAACCTTTGAGGGCACAGTTTGGAGGTGGAGTCGCACAGGACATTTGTAAAAGTAGGACAGCAAAGTTTCACTGTAGCCCACAAGGAAGTAGTACTTGTGTGGAGGCAAGTTCCTCAGGACCAGGGCACAGATCTCCAACTGGTTACCCCGGCGCTTTAAAACCAGCTGGTCAGCCAGGCAGCCTGGGAAGGTACCCCACATGAACTTGCGAAGGAAAACATCCTCCACCGTTCGCTCTGCGGCATGGTCCTCTCCATCCAGGTTACCTGAAGAGGGAAGGGCATCACAGAAAAGTCAGCCTCATCGCCCCAGGGTCCTGCCATAACTCCAGAGTCAACATCTCAAAGCGCTGAGCACAATCCCACCCTTCACCCCAAGCCTCTTCGCTTTTCTTCTGCTAATGGAATAAGAAAAATAACACTTTAAAGTTCAAAGTATGTTTTATGTCATTAATTCCCAAGCCAATTCAGTTTAGTAGGTATTATCATTATCCTTAGTTTACAAAAAGGAAGATGGAGGCCTGAGTCAGGGTGCAAAACTCAGATGATGCCACCATATCTAGCCCCTTTCCTGCTTTCTTGGCTGCCTTATAAAAACACTGGTCATCCCATGGACCAGAAAGATGAGGTCACCAGCTATTTTTGAGATTAGGGACATGAGTCCTCTCATGAGCTAGGCCCAGGGCTTCCACCAGTGGGTTCTCAGTGTGAACCCTGGATCCCCTGCAGCCCTTACAATGTCCATTAAGAGTCTGCACACCTACATCCAAACGTCAGATCAGTGCCTAAAAGAGTGGGGGATATGCATCTGTTTTTTTGTTTTTTTTTTTTTTTGAGATGGAGTCTCACTCTGTCGCCCAGGCTGGAGTGCAGTGGCGTGATCTCGGCTCACTGCAACCTCCGCCTCTTGGGTTCAAACAATTCTCTGCCTCAGCCTCCTGAATAGTTGGGATTGCAGGTGCCTGCCACCACGCCTAAGTTTTTTGTATTTTTAGTAGAGATGGGGTTTCATCATCTTGGCCAGGTTGGTACTGAACTCCTGACCTCGTGATCCACCCGCCTTGGCTTCCCAAAGTGCTGGGATTACAGGCGTGAGCCAGCGCGCCAGGCAAGCATCTGTATTTTAAGTAAGTTCCCTAGATGCATCTCAAACATCCAAGAACCCCTGTACTAAACAAAACACAGTTGGTTATCAATTGTTCACAGTAGTTATACTCTATAAAGTCACCGCCAACACTGAGTTAGTGAATACTGAACCACTGCTCCTAGAGGAAATACAGGGTTAGATTCCTTCCAGCCTCTGGGCACCATATTTTTGTGAACAAATCAATACATAACCTAGTTTCCTTTGTGTTTCTGTTTAAAGACACCTTGTTTAATATATACGGTAAATTCATTAACATTGAATTCAGGGCCAAGAGCAACTGTGACTGAAGAAAGAGGTATGTCCTCCCTAAGGCACTTCACAGCCTTCTCCCCCTTAGAACACTAGACAGCACTTCAGCATTGCTGGGCCATTTTAAACAGCAAAATCACTAACAAAAAGCACAAAAAATGCAAATTAAAAAAAAAAAAGATTCTAGACCATAAAAAGGACACCTTTTACAGTATGAGAGCTGAAACGAGGCAGAGCCTTGTTGTCGTCGACCTCAGCTGGGGACATGCACCTGGGGTGGCAGCTCTACCCACATCTCAGAGTGACCTTGAGAGTGCCCAGAGTGTTGATTTGGGGCTTACAAATAAATCTGAGTCAGTAGAAGAATCTGAAAATATGAAATTCACGAAATTAGGGTTGTCTGTATATATTTACAGAGAAAAAACTGTGCTTCAGTGGAAAACTGCATTCCTTAGAGCACACTCTTGAGGGTTATCAGATTCTGTAAGGGTTTCACTCTTTTCCTTGACTCTGAGCTATTCTGCAGCTCTGTAAATTACAGATAACTGATAGGAATGCAAAATAATTCTTGTCTGTAGACATGCAAATAATTTCTGTTCAGTGGAGGATCAACTGAGTCCCTGCCCGCCATGGAAAAAGTCAGTTTTGCATCCATCTTCAAATTTGTTTCAACATTCTGATCTATATATGTCTCTGTTTTTTTATGTCTCCCTTGAGTTGGTTTCATAGATTTCTGACCCTGGCATTATTTCCTGAGTTAAAGGAAACCTGTGACACGTGTTCATTTTGTTTACATGACAGTAGGACTGAGTGCTCCTTTTGGAGGCCTGGGGTCCGCTCACCTGTGTGCAGCGACAGCCAGCCCTTACGGTGGGCGATGTAGTGCGGCGCGTGTGCCTCCTCGTAGGTCACCGGCTTGTCCCCCTTGCCTACGCGTACTCGGGCCGCCCGGTTCTAGGAGCAAAAGGGGCCGTGACTCCACGAGACCCCCAATCCAGACCCTACCTCGCGCCAAGTCCCTCCAGTCAGCTGGCACTGCTCCCCGACCCCAACCCCCTGATCCCTAAGCCCCGACCCGGACCCCGGCGACACGCCTCCTTCAGCCCGCGCGGCGGCCCCGGACCCCGGACCCCCAGGGCCCCAGGCACCAGCCCCGGTTGTGCTCACCTTGGCGCAGACCGCGGAGGTGTGCAGGGCGCGCCAAGCGCAAGGCAGCTCTCGGCTCCAGGACAGCACCTGTGGAGGGAGGGCGCGTGAGGCGGAAACTAGGGACCCCACATCCGACTCGCCGGGACCTGCCGAATCACCCACTCACCCGTGGCCCCAGCAACCCGTTGCACACGGAGGCCGCCATCTTGGGCCGAGCTGAGCGCGGGACGTACCACAGCGCGCTGAGGGGTGGGGATAGCCGTGGAAGAGACCAAGTCGGAGCTTGTACTCTGGCGGGGCGGAGCAGGGCCTCTGCGGGGCGGAGCAGGGCCTCTGCGGGGCGGGGCCGCGGTGTGCTGGGTAGCTGTCACTCCCGCCTTCCCCGCAGCCCTGTGAATGCTCAGCCTTGTGAATGCTCATTCCGCCGCTGTTCGCTCTGCCGCGGTTGCTGCTTACATCGGGTTTCAGATCCGGAAATTTGAGAATGAGAAACGTGAGATTTCCTCTTCAACAACCTCACGCTAGTACGGGTGATGGGTGTGCGGCCCACCGGGCCCCGCCCTACCCAACTGCACCCTCGGGGCCCGAAGAGGAGCCAAGCGTTTACCCAGGTCCTATGAATTAGGCTGCTGAGTTGTGCCTCCAAATAATATTCGTAAAAAAAAAACAAACAAACAGAAAAGCCCTCCAGACTTTTATCTACGAATAAAGAAACATGTTTTGGTTAAAACGTCACCCAGTTCTTCAAGGATGACTTATGCAGTTATGCAAGAATGGGTTTGCCACATGTGACCATACTGGTGATTGGCCCCTGGGGAAGGAAAATTTTAAGTATGAGGAAAAGGCCGGAGGGCAAGGAAATTCATGAGAATATCGCAGGGCCTGTAATGCTCAAACCAGTGCGTCGCCACTATTATTGGTAGCCAGTAATTATTAATGTCAAACGGAAAAATAGCAACACGGGATATTTAATTTAGAAGTCACCACGGTCATGGAAAAAACATGGGCTCTGGAGTCAGGCCCATGTACAACAATCTTTGTACAGTTAAGACTCAGTTCTATTATCTATAAAATGGGCCTTAATAATAGTACTACCAGGCCGGGCGCGGTGGCTCAAGCCTGTAATCCCAGCACTTTGGGAGGCCGAGACGGGCGGATCACGAGGTCAGGAGATCGAGACCATCCTGGCTAACACGGTGAAACCCCGTCTCTATTAAGAAATACAAAAAACTAGCCGGGCGAGGTGGCGGGCGCCTGTAGTCCCAGCTACTCGGGAGGCTGAGGCCGGAGAATGGCGTGAACCCGGGAGGCGGAGCTTGCAGTGAGCTGAGATCCGGCCACTGCACTCCAGCCTGGGCAACACAGCGAGACTCCGTCTCCAAAAAAAAAAATAATAATAATAATAATAGTACTACCTTATGGAGCTATTAGGATCAAGAGAATATTTAATAAATGATGGGTTGTGTTTGGTTGAGTCATGTGAAATTGCCAATATTTTGGCCGTTCTGGGTCTGCATCATTCCCCCTAATGGTACAGTACTTGCATATGCTGCAGTTTCCTGTCAGGGGGAGGACTGGATTATGATCCATGGGAAGGGGAAATGGAAGAACGGTGGAAATGAGTTGCCCATGACCACACTGAGGAGAGGGAGAGAGGGACCAAGACACAGATCTCTTGACTTCAGTCCAGTCCATTTCCCATGACCAAGACTCCTCTGATTACATGAAGGTGGGTTCTCAAAAAACCCGTAATAAAAGGACAAGGTCTTCCATGTCCACTTCACTAGAAATGTTTTATTATTAATTTTTAGAAAGTACGGCCCCCAACTGTTAGGCATATTGAATAAAGGGACAGAGCAAGGATGAGGTGCCCTCCAACCCATAATACTTTGCAAATATAAGAACTTTCAACATTTCCTAAGAAATCCTTTTCAACTGACAATATTTTTAAAGTTTTCATAATGTTCAATAATTTTATAATTGTTAAGTTTCATTACTTTGCTCCAAGGTGGTGAGGAACATGGGACCTGGCATCTGAATTGCCTGAGTCCAAATCCTGGACCCAATGCTTCCTGGCTGTGTAATTTGGGCAAGTGACTGAACCTCCTGAGCCTCGGTTTCTCTCATCTGTAAACTGGGGACAATAATGGTGGTTGTGAAAATTACAGGGTGATGTGCCTGGCAGAGGGAGAGAGCAATTGTGGGTTTTATTGTTGTTTTTAAGGAGTCCCTGATAGCCACATATCCCGTTAGGGAGATGAGCCAGCTATTGAGGGTTCTATGAGAACTCATAGCAACACCACCCTAATCAGAGGAAAGGGGAAGGAGAAAGGGAAACAAGCTCCTTGGGCTGATCAGAGGAAAAGGTGGCAATGGCACAACACCTATTGGGGCCCAAGGTGGGCAGGGGCCGCATCACAAAGGCTGTGGTTGGGAATCAAGTTTTGCCCATAAGGCAGCAGGCAATAAGATGATCAAATTTATGCTTTCCTCTATTCAAACCATTCTCCCTTATGCCTGAGGTCTCTCTCTGGAATTCCATACCGATGTAGATCTTTCCAAGCATCACAATGGCCATTTCAGTGGCAGACATTTCTGGGGTTCAAATATCTTGTCATCTATCCTTTATAAGCTTTGTTTATACTGTGATTGGGGGAAAGGTGTCATGTCGGTCTTTACATGATTAAAATTACTTAAAATGACTTTTATACATCAGTATGACTGTTATATTGTTTTAAATCATCAGCAGAAAAATCTGACTGGGGATGTTTTATTTTTCTGTAACTTCCATTTGTTGTTGTTTTGATGCACTTTCCTTCTCCTATTAATTCCATAAAGGAGGCAGTATTTCCAGGCTTCACAGAGCAGAAGATGGAGGCTCACAGACTCACCTGGGGTTACAGAACTAGTAAATGGTAGCAGGCCTTTTTGCTCCAAAGCATGTGATCTTTCAGTATCACTTCCTGGGGGTGAGGGTTCACACCATGCTAGGATCAGGGAATGGCCTGGGTTTCTGTGGCTTGCTGAAGACAGCTCCCAACTGGCCCTCAAGGACTGCCTGGACATGGAAAGGCCAGGAGCATATGAACCCATATGAAAGACCTATCTGCACTCTTCCTGGGGCCTAGTGCAGAGACAGGGATGTAAAACTGCTTTTTCTTTGACTATGCAGAGACAGAGATGTAAAACTGCTTTTTCTTTGACGTGAGCCTTTGTTCCGCACATAACCAAGAACAAGAAGTTGCTCCTATGCTCTCAAAGCAGTGATTCGCAACCCCAATTGCATGACAGAGCCCCCTGGGTTCCACACCACCTCTGTGGGGAGAGGGCAGGCATTCATATTTTTTAAATGCCCCTTAGATGATTTCAATTTGCAGTCGGGGCTGAGAACCAGTGTCCTGAACTCACTCCGTTTATTTGGGAGACTCTCAAAATGTGTATTTGCAGAGCCCCCTTTCGGGGAGAGTGCTGTTGGATGCTCCTGGAAGATTATGGCAGCTCTCTAAGGAACGTAGCCATAGTCCATGCCTACCACTCTTGGTCACAAGGGCAGAGGAAGGGAGGAGGGGTCTGCTGGGAGGTCAGGACTTCTTTGAGATGATCTGTCCAGTTGGGTGCAGCACAGCCACCATGGGCTCACCCAGAGTGCTCAGGGGATACAGCACTGGCTGGGCCGTGGAGAGATGCTGTGTAAAAGGGAGCCGTCAACCCCCTTGTATTTCCAGAGCCTGAAGAGTTTCAGAATCCAGCCTAGGGGCGGTGGGGTGCCATCTCCCTTCCTGTTGGCTGGAGGGTGAGCCGAGATCACTCCACTCATGGTGGTTCTCTTTACAGCTGACTTATCCTCAGAACTGCTGACACTTTACACTTTGTAAACCTGTGTTTTTTACATTATTCCTTGTGATTCTTTTTTTCCTAATAACTCGTTCACCAGGAAAAATCCCAGAGGCTCTCAGCTCTATTCTGAGAAATAGGTCAAACAACTGAAACCCTATGAGTAAAGCAGAGAGGCATGTCAAACCAGATTGCCAAGACAGCTCAGTCGTTTTCCCTGTGAGCTCCTGCTCCATTCCCCCACCTCTGTTCTTCTGTTGAGGCACAAGGGCTGGGTTTGGTGGGTGAGGTCCCCAGCTGTAATTACTGACGTCAGCTTTGGGGTCCCAAGGAATCCACTCTCCTGTTATCAGAGCTGTGGGCAATTAGAAATGCCCAGTGCCACACCAGAACCCTGGGCTAAAAGTCAGAACCTGAAGAAGCCAAACTGGTGCTTGGGATAGACAGCGGGTGGACTCAAGAAAGACAAGACCGAGGGATGGGCCTCATGAGCTCCAGCCCCTGAGACTGCCACTCCCTGGCTCCCAGATGAACTGCTAGATCTAGATGTAATTGGGCTCAGATGAGGAGATAATGAAAACGTGCTAAGGACCAAGAAAGGCACAGAAAGGCCCCTGAACCCTTGGGTGGGCACGAATGGAGGTGCGACTGGCACCAAAGGCTGTTCTGAGAGATGTGCCTGCCAGTCAGCCAGGGCCAGAGACAAGCAGAAGGGGCCCTCCGGCAGACAGTGGCATGGAAGAAGCCATGGCCTCCAAAATGTGTGTGTGGCAGGGCAAGGGTGTGGTTGACGAAATGACAGGAGACCAGGACCACGGTCATCTTGGCTCTTGTGCAGCCCTGACTCATCGGTGCTCATAAAGCTGCACTCTGGTGAAATTTTGTTGGAGTCTTAGAAGAATTCAGGATAGGTTTATGGCCAAATCATTTTATTAATGATTTTCCCTTTTACTGGGAGGATTTTCCGTTTACTGGGCTAATACAACACATCTGAGGAGTTGGGGCAGCTACCAGATCAGGTTTATATTGTGTAAACTGCACACCACCACCAGTCCTGCTCGGTGCTGTTTCAGTAAATTAAGATAATATTAATGAGAAGATGCTGTTTTACATACCATTAGGAAGGAAAAATGGCTGCAAATTATCTTAAGGTACCATTGATTGATTAAAAGATGAATCCTGATCTGACATGTTAAAATGTTTGAGGCTGATGCAGAAGGCAGTTTCCTCTCCACAAGCCTCATGGGTGTGCAGAATGGTGTAGACACAGAGATGGGTGCCTCACTTATCTCATGCACAGACTGGCTCTTCCACCACAGGGCAGGCACTGTGTAAGCATCTTCCATTCCTACACAGGTGCTAGTAGGGGGAACTAAGGCTTGGAGAAGCCAAGTAACTTTGCTCAAGGGTCATATAATTAGTAGGAAGCAAGGCTGAG